AAAATGAGGAGCTGATACCAAGGGCTCAAGTAGAAAGCAAATGTTTTGAGAATGATGATGGCAACATATGTACAAATGTTCTTGATACAATGGATGGATGGATGGATTGTGATAAGAGTTGCATGAGCCCCCAATAAATGATTTAAAAAAAAAAGAGTTGGAATCAGCTCTGTGACAGTGTGTTTGGGGGCTAGGCTGGTCTGCTTCTCTGACATACAAATGCTTGAAAAACCTCTCAAAAAACAGGGAGTTTTTTTTGTTTTTGTTTTGGGGTTGGTTAGTTTGGGTTTTTATTAGTAGTTTGTATTTGTTTTTTAAGAATAAATCCAATAAATGAATTTATCCATCTATTTATTTAAAAAATACAATTTCTTTTTTAAAAGTATGTGAGTTTATACAATGCCATTTGGCATTTTGAAAGAGTTGTTGACAATTTCCTAATAAACTGTTATTGCCATTGTTTTAATTAGCCAGCGTTTCAATCGCTCTTTTACATCCAGCAAGGTTTCAGACAGGATTTTCTAGATAATAAATGGCATCAATCACCTAGCAACAATGCGATTCTTTAAAATTGGTAGCCAGTCTTCCAAATGAGTTCTGCATCCCTACAGATCTCTCAGGGCTTGACATAAAGTTACTAAAAGATTAGTACTGAGGTGTCAGTAGCTACTGACATTTGGACAAACAAGACTGTCTTTAAACTCTATTCTAACCCTAAACGCAGTGCCATGGAGTTGACTCCAATTCACATTGATTCTATAGGACAGGAACCCCACTTTGGGTTTCTGAGACTTTAAATCTATCCTGGAATAGAACCTCTACTTTCTCCCTTGAAGCGAAGGGTGGGTTTGAACTGCTGACCTTGCAGTTAGCAGCCCAATGTATAAACCCACTTTGCCAGCAAATTCCCTGCCATCAAGTCAATTCTGACTCATATTAGGTTATAGGACAGAGTGGAACTGCCCCTTTTGTATTTCTGAGACGATACCTTGTTTCATGGAAGTAGAAAGCCTCATCTTTTGTCTGTGGACCGCTGGTGGTTTCAAACTGCTGACCTTGAGGTGAGAAGCCCCCTGAGAAACCCATTATGCAACCAAGGTTCCTTTACAGTCTTCCATTTTTCCATAGGCTGCATTAAAATTAATCTTGTCTGGAAGCATTGGCAAAGTATCCCATGGATTTCTGCAAGGGACATATCAAAACAAGGGAGTAGGGTGCCCCTTTAGATGTAAAGATTTGATCTTACAGTTAGAGAACTGAGAAGGGACTCTCTTTCCCTGAGGGAAGGAAAGCAGCAAAACAATGACCAATTGAAATAGAGCTCCTTACTTTGACTTTGAGAGGCTAAGGTGAGCAATTTGATGGTTCAGGGATGGCGAGCACTGTCATTGCAGGCAGTTCCTGGGTTACAGAGCAGTGCTGCCCTAAGTCTGTCTGTAAGCCAAATTTGTCTGTAAGTTCTCATTTGTATCTAAAGCCAATGAACCCAATATTTTCTTAATATATGATATAGGCAAAAGGTACTTTTCTATGTATTAAAAAAAAGAGTAAGAGAAACATGTCCAGATACACTAAAATAGCATTAATATAAGAAGACAGCAATAATAGTAATAATGTCTGCATGCTTCAGAAAGCAGCACCTATTTGCTACGGTGAGCGACTCATGACACCGGGAGTTTTTCATGTACTAGACTCTATGCCGTGGGTGCGTCACTCCAGGTTGCCTGTAAGCCGAACCCTACTAACCCAGGGACTGCCTGTGTTTCCATATGGGAAAAACAGCATGAAGGAGCGAGGCCAGGATCAGTTGCCAGGGCATCAGTGCCGACTCATGTGTGCCAGGCTTCCCTTGGAGGCACATCTAGATGGGCTCAAACTCCAAGCTATTGATGAGAAGTCGAGTACATTGACCATTTCCACCCCCCAGGGAGTGGACAAAGAAACCATACCCAACCCACTGCCATCAACTTGATGCTGACACAGAGGGACCCTTTGTGACCAAGCAGAAATGCGCCTTTGGGCTTCCGAGCCTGTAACCCTTGATGGGAGCAGACAGCCTTCTCTTCCTTCTGAGGCGCAGCTGGTGAGCTTGAACCGCAGATCTTGTGGTTAGCAGCCTCGCACTTAACCCACCACAGCGAAGGTATAAATATTCAGTGGTAACCATGAGCCAACTGGCATCAGGGAAGGCCAGGAGACATGGAAGAATGCCATCCCCTGCCAGGCAGGGGTGGCACAGGCCAGCAAGGAGCCCAAAGCAGAAAGAAATCAGCCAGGGCTCAAGAATGCAGGTACGGATTGTGATGAGTTGTATGAACCCCTAATAAAATGATTATTTAAAAAAAAGAATGCAGGTAGCTAAGAGATCATTTGTATTACAATTGCCCCAGTAACATGTGGTCCATATAATCATTGCAGTGCAAGCGAAATCAATGCTGGCTGTTAAAAAAAAAAAAAAACTTGTTTGTCCCCCCCACCCCCACCCCAAGATGATAGTACAGCTCTCTCTACAAGGTTCTTTGCAAGGGTAAAGCCTAGAGAAATAGAAATTCTGGAGGACGAAAAGAAGAGCTCGCTTTCCTTCTCTCTTGATTCTGTCTGAACCAATATTTGATTATATTTTATTCAGGGGCACCTCGGCTTCAAGTAAAACCAAAGCTTCCTTACAGATTGAAATGGAAGCTGAAAGAATCCACTTCCCCACCCCCTTTTATCCTGCTAGTCTAAGAAACAGAAATAGTTTTGTTGTGAATTCAGGGTCGACCTAATTTTGCCCCACCCACCCTGGAGTTAAAACAAGTTAGCTAGTTAGCGCTGACGTTAAAGTAGCAGTTGCTATCTCCAACCAATTGTCACTCCTCTCCTGGTCATTTAAAATGCCATTTTAGTTATTTTATTTGTGATACTCCCTCCCCTATCCCCACTCCCCCAAACCAGCTCAAGAGCAAAGTCACGCTACCAAGGTTCTGACTCACAGCAACCCTTTGGGTTTCTGTGACATTTAAACCCTTATAGGAACAGACAGCCTCATCTTTCTCCCTTGGAGCAACTGGCAGATTTGAACCACTGACCCTTGGGTTAGCAGCTCAATATATCACTATGCCACCAGGGCTTCTTATCCCCAGCTCAAGAGAAAACAAAGTCAATCCCATCAGGTCATCTCTAAGCAACGCTACAGGGTGGGGTAGAATTGCCCCTGTGAGTTTCTGAGACTGTAACTCTTTACAGGAATCGGAAGCCTCCTCTTTATCCCACAGAGCGGCTGGGGGGTTCAAACTGTTGATCTTGTAACCAACGTGCAACCCACGATGCCACCAGAACTCTATAGCGACTGATAATCCTCAATAGGAATCTTGCACATGACAGATCTCAAAATATCTACATACATGCACCAAGGGTTGGATAAGTAGTGGAACCCGAATCAGATTTTAGGAAAAGCTAATGGGATGTCAAAATCCTAACAGTCAAAATAGTATCTACCCCTTCAACTAGCTACAGCTTTGGCCTCTCCCCTAAGGTTTATTCCTAAAACTGTCAACATGCTCTAGTTGATCGTTGACTGTTTGAAGGGAGGGGAAGGGGAAGAGTTATGTGTTAGTTACTCCTGCTGCTCTGAGTGCTTATTTTATTCCGTGATGCAGGAAAATCTGGATTAATGTATACCCTGGAGTGTGACTGGAGGCACAGCCTCAATCTAGAGGCAAAGAACCAGCTTGACCTCCCCGAGCTTGGCCTCCCCGAGCTTGGCCTCCCCGAGCTTGTTTCCTTGTAGCTTTACAACTCCTGGCCTTTAGATAGGGTGAGGGGGAGAGGGTCAACAGGTCTGGGCATGTTTGTGACAACATGGAATCTGTGTATGTTTAGAAAAAAAATTGATATTGAGGGAAAAAAGATCTAGACTAAAAATAGTGACATAAAAAGCTCTGCTACAGGTATTAAAAGAAGGAGAAGAGGAAGAGGAGGAGGAGGAAGAGGAGGAGGAGAAGAAGAAGGAGGAGAAGAAGAAAGCCAGGAACCTTTAACATTCTTAGGCTATGTTACAACCTGTCTACATTCATCCTTTGTCCCTAAGATTACACAGCCCCCTTGGTCAAGGATTTTGCTGAATTTTAAAATGTTATTTTAGCCATAAATTTTCATGCTGTCCTCTCCCTTAGACCTCATGAAATCAGTATACACTTGTTAAAAAAAGATCCACCCCGAATATTATGATTACACATATTTTGAACATGGAATTCATTCAGAACAATAACCAAGCAAAACAAATCCCCTGGTGGCAGAAGGCCCCAAATCTCCAGTTTCTCACATCTCCAGGAGAATTCCTGCAGTGCAAACAGCACTCCTCACACAGACAATGTAAACTGTTACCCTGGCTGAAAAGCCGCAGGGGACTCCACAGGAAGCGCTGACTCTATATTGCTGTTTCCCCTTACACTTCTAAATGCAGGGACAACTTTCACTGGGGCGGCTCTGACTCAGATGGAGGCTTTGAAATGGAAGCCAGTGCTGCTCAGACCTCTTCAGAGCAAATTATGTGATCATCTTGCCATTTTAACAGCATTAAGTGTGTGTGTGTGTGTGTGTGTGTGTGTACACACCATTGTAAAGAGCCACTAAGCGTTAGAAGATTTGAATTCTTTCTTGGGGCTGGCCTCATCTTCGTGGGTGCTAGTTCTGAGTGCTGAAGGATCACTCTTAGCAAAGCAACATTTCTAACACAGAAAGTTAAAATCCCATGTACAAGAACTCAGACACCTCCGAAGCTTACTAACGTTAACAAAATTGGAACGTCAAATAAAACTCCTCAATGGCGTATGGATCTGAAAAACAAGTAAGCACTAACACCCGTACAATATGTGAGAACTCAGTGATGTATGAAATACCCCATCGTCCAGAGGGAACTTCGTTTCCTTTTTAAAATTTCGTTTCCACCTGGTTGTCTAGCAAAACTGGTTCATTGTCCATAGTTAGTTTATATATGTCATTTAGAATCCACTTACTGTTAGATGCTGGAACAGCCACGCCCTCATGATATTTGTGGCTACTTTGGGAAAGATGCCACGCTTTTTGTGACGCTTTTTGTCCTTATCTGGATCATCATCGTCACCTGTGCTGGGGGAAGCTACACTGTTGTCCAAGCCATCACCTGCAAACATAGTGAATCAAATTTTGACTGATGCTACCTTGACATGTTTTATTCAAATAGAATGCCTTTGGATATAAACAAAACCAAAAGAGCAATTTAAATGATTCATAGTTTCTTTGGTACTTTTTTTTTTTTTAATTCTTTTTAAAAATTTTGCTTTGCTGTTACTCGTTTTTCAAAACAGAGAAAGAACAAGGCCTAGACTCAATCGTAGTTGGTTCAAAAGAACTTCTTCCTAAGAACAGTGCTAAAGGTCAAAGGGGATGGAGGGAAATATACGATCGCTTTTGTAGCTTAGTTGCCATAGTAATTATCCCAACATGTAGAGCTGCCACATACTAAGCGTACCTCCTACTGGGGAGTTAAAGGTGGTGGCAGCCCTGTCCCTGTCTGGATATCCAAATTCCACATACAGTCATTGCTATCAACTTGTGAGAACATTTGTTTAAGATATCATCTACTTCCCAAATGATCTACCTGAAAACAAGGTAGAGCAGGCCAGGAGATGAAGGTAATCCATCACAGATGTATTTGATATGGGTAGACTGCAGAAAGGATATCATTTCTCTTGGAATAGAGGGTAGCAAGTTTAGTTAGGAAAAAAGATCCCTGGAATCAATTTTTATTAGAAAAAATATTAATATTTAAGTGGGATAAATTATGAACTTAAGAAGAAATTAGAATATGCTATGACCCTAATATCCAGACAATTTCTAAAATTTCTTCAGATTGAAGTTTTTCTCCTTGAAAAAAATCACCCGCTAACACATCCCTAGGGGCGCTGGTGGGTAGTGGTTCCGCTATCCCTGAATATTGCATGTGATTTTCCTGCTGATTCTTATTATGAAATTTGACTTGTTTCCTCTCGAAAAAAAAATTTGCTCCAGGACACCAGAAAATAAAAGCCATAGTAATTCTTTTATCATGCCGTATTAAAAATGTGAAAAACATGACACTCCAGCTTCTCAAATAGTCATCCTATCCAAAGTCAAGTCACCAGTTACAAATGGAATTCGCATTCCATTTTTGGCATTGGCACGGAATGCAAAAGGGAAAACAACATTGGTCTAAATTCACTACACTAAAGAAATGACTCACTCACCACCCTCGAGTCTATGCCAATCCATAGTGACCCTACAAGGCAGGGGTCAAGCTGTCCCTGGGCTTTCCTAGACTGTAACTCTTCTGGGAGCAAAGAGCCCAGTCCTTCCACAAGTAACCTCATGTCTAGCAAAGGCCGTCTGCTGTGAGCCCCAGGATGGTACTCTAGCTCTCTGCGGAAGCTACTGGCTTTTAGAAGTGGGCAGCTAAATCTGAGACCCCAAGGAAGTGCTGTCTAGCACTCAAGGATTACCAGTGAGGTAACAAATGCCCCCTATCACCCATGGATTAAAGAATTTATTAGAGAGCAACCTACATGGCCCAGCAGACCCCAAACTTTGGTAAGACAGCATCTCGGCAACTGTGCACTAGAACATGCAGTTGTTAGTGTCTGATCCCTAATGACCACCCCCTGATGCACTAGAAGGGACCCAGACTTGCTTGGCTGTAATCTGAACAGATTTGAACCACCAACCTTTGTCTTAGGGACCTCCATGCTTATCCATTGCACCCCAAGGAACTAGTCTTAGATTGATAGATGCTGCCTCATGAGTTGCTGCATTGCCTGAATTTCATGTGGATAAAAACAGTTCTCTATCTTGACTTCAGTTATTCCAGTCCAATCCACCGTTGTTATGTTGTAATCAATCAATTATTCTTTGTAGATCCCTGAGGATACTCCCCTCTCCCCATAAAAAAGAAAGTCATTTCCAAATTGCCTTGGCTGGCCTTAAAGGAAAGTTTTGAAACTTCACTGGAGGAGGAAGGAGAGGGCTCCTTTAAACATGTCTAGAATACTGCTGTCCTGCCACAAATACAAAACTTCTGCAGACCTTCTCCGAGGTTACACGTTCATGAGTTTACAATTTAACACGTTACTTAAAATCCATGTCTTTTAGTGAAGCTGCCCCAGACTGTAGCTGTCTTCCAGCTGGCAAGGCTCCTGGAGACCTACAATGCCAACGCTCCCATTGTGTCAAGGGGGACAATGTTGCCATGACTTGTCCAAGGTCGATCTGACCTGGATGGAGCCCCCAGTGTGAGCGCTGGACCAGGCACCTAGATTCCCAGGTCAGAGCTCCGTCTACCCGGTCACATGCTTCATTTGCCTAACCAAGTGCTTTTCCTGGAGTCCCGGTGGATTTGCCTAATAAATTCTTTGAAAGTCCAGTATTTAAAGAGGCTCTTTATTCCGAGAAGCAATCCACCATATAAAATAACAATTCATTAAAGAAACATGAGAAAACAACTGGGCGGCATTGAAAATTTCACTGGGCTGATCAACTTTCAATAGGCAAAAGGTAACCAAGGCAAAGCAACCGATTACTCCATCATTGATAATATAAAAATAAAAAGCCTCCACCCTAATGGCACTGTTTTTCACTTCCCCACGATTGTTTTCCACTTAAACAAAAAAAAGCAGGGGGGTAGGGGGAGGATGCCCTTTCTATCCATCTCGAAAACCCCTTCAGATTAATTTAGCAGGCAATGCCTAGTGCCTGCCTGGAAGAGAATTCATTGATAATTTATGGAAATATCTACTGTAATCCAGCAGAGATGACTTTTTCCCAGCTTTGTGCATCAATAGATAATCAAGGCCTTAAAGCAGCCTGAGCTTCCTATGGCCTCAGGCAAAAGAATCCCTGAAAGGGTGCCTGCAGGGCACCTGAATTAGAGACTCCATTAGGAGAGGGAGGCTTTCTGCATTCCATGTGTAACACTCACCAGAGCCTTTCCTGTTTATTTCTGCTGTTTGAAAGCAGAAGCATTAGGAACAGAATTTTTTAAGTGAAGACTTATGTAGATACAATGGAGAAACCTTTCAAGCAACAGCCAGATCACCCCCTTCAGTCCCTGGCAGTGACCTCTCCCGAATAAAAGGTTTCTGTTACATCATTAGCTCAAGCCAAAAACAGCCTTGGCTTAATGCACAGTTTGTTCTTCCTACTGTTTTTAGGCAAATACAGCTACTTTCCTCCCATCTGGGAGGGAAATTACACTGCTGGGTTGTAATCTAAGACAAGATTTTCATTGGAAGCAAATGCTTTCAATCCAGTGTAAATACTGGTGCATGTTCAGAAAAGCCTAAAACAATAAACGCTGCTCCTTTCCGACACAAGTTAGGGAAATGGAGAAGATGGGGAAGGAGAAGAGCATAATATAACAGGCCATTCTAAAAGCAAACACTTTCGTAGATTTTAATAAATTGTTTAACCTCTTCCACTTTCTGAAATTGAAAATTGATCTCTCGCCGTCTCCAGCTCCAGAGGAGGGTCTAAATGGTCAATTGTGCCTGTGGCATCGCCAGGCACCCTGCAATTTGATAGTCACCTCTCTGCGGCCTCCGGAGGATTTATTTCCCTTTTTTTTTTTTTTAAGATCACTAAACAAACTTGGAGAACCACCAGGCGACCACACGGCAGCCGGCCGCACCTCTCCACCCCACTTGTACAACGTCGGCCGTGGCTTCTTTCCCGGAGCTGACTTCTCCTGCCGCCAAATGAAGGCAAACTGAAAAGGTGGAAATAATCATAAAAATGATGCTAGTCCATAAACAAGCTTACAGCCTCATTAGGAGAGCAGTAGGCTCCTGTGGGTGATTTATGCTCGTTTTTGCTGATGCTACGAGGAAAGGCCATAGGGCAACTTGAGCCAACTGCTAATGGTTTCTGACAGCTTCTTAGCAACTAGTGCAAGCAACGTTGTGGCGTTTGCTAGTGACAGAAACAGAAAATGTCATATTATCTGCCCATGTGTCATGAAGTCCATGTGGCAATTAACTAGCAGGCCAGTGACTGAGGGGCCAGAGTCTCCTGGAAATGGCCTTTGGCTATGCAGAGGCAGCCAACGGGTACGAGCGCTGCCACGCTGCCCATATGCAACATTCTAATGCAGCAATCCACTCCCTGCCACCACCCTGCTCTGATGAGACATGGCTGCTCAAACCTCTCTTTTCCCCTCACGGAAGTGAGACTCTGGGTGCCTCTCTCTCTAGGTACCAGCGGGGCCCATCAGAAGGTTTCAAAGCTATCTGCTTTGCTATGATTAACCAAACAGCACCTTAATTGGCCATACCTGGCTGGGTGCTTTCTGGATGCTGGATTCAAAGGTGCTAGCTGTTTGCCTGGTCGCTCACAAATTAGTCTAAAAGGATTTCAGATCACTGGAGCAGGCTCCTTCCCTGTCAGCGGGCCAGGAGCAGGGGAACTCTGGCGGGCAACAAGACACTATTTAAGAAACGCCAGCGAGGCTTCTTTCTAACAAGCAGGAGGAGAATGGTGGCCACACGTTCCCGTTTCCGGGCTATCAAAACCGTGCACTATATGTCAAACTGTCAAATCTTTCAGCGTGGCCCATTTGCCCTTTCAAATAATATTTAAGAATTGTTTTTACAAACTTTTATAGGCCATGGTCTAGTGAAAGAGGCCAACCAACAAAGAAAGGAATTTGTACTACAATTCGTCTGTGGACAATTTCTTGTGCGACCTGGGCCTGTCCCCACGGAGCGAGGCAGGTGACCTGGGGCAGCTCCCAGGCTGTCCGAGAGCTCGGATTTCAAACACGCTGGGCTCAAACATTCCAAGTCGTCTATTTAAGCATGCCCGGGCATTGAGGCAGGCTACTCCGTGCCTTTCAAGGCAGGATAAAGCGGCATTTATCGGATTCAGGACGTTCAATGGGTCAGACTGACCATGTCAGCAGGGGGGCCACTGGGGCAGGTCAAAGCCCCGCTCCCATTTTTCTCTCTCTCCTCTCTCCCTCTCTCCCCGACACTGCCATTCCCCAAAACCTATCCAGGAGTGAGGCCAAAACAAAACCCAAAGGCGCCCTATAATTTCCATCCCTAGGGAAGGGACCAGCCAGCCTCTGTGCCATCAGGTAGGCATGAAGTGGGTTGT